GGGGGGGGGGGGGGGGGGGGGGGGGGGGGGGGGGGGGGGGGGGGGGGGGACGGGCCCAGGGTGTCTGGGGGCAGGGTAGGTGCCCATTATCCCCACCTGTGCCCCCCCAGCCTGCCTCAGAAACCTGGGCAAATGAGATGGAGTAGGGGGTGAGGGAGGGGAAGGGGAAGTAAAAATGACTAAGAAGTCTCATGTCCATGTACCAACTCCCAACAATGAATGTAATCATTATGTACCTCAAACATATGCTAATAAAAATTTAAAAAAATCAAATAAATAAATTTTAAAAACAGAATCAGTGGACAAGGCCTCAGGAGTCCTGGGTGCCTGCATACCACTGGGTTTACTTTGTTTGAGGTGAAACTGTTGGATTTCCAGGAAGTAGTCATACTTGTTTTGTTTCATTTTGGTTTGTTTTTTGAGGCAGGGTCTTCCCTTTGTAGTTCAGGATGGCCCTGAACTATGTAGCCCAGGCTGGCCTCGAACTCAAGACAATCCTCCTGCGTCAGTCAGCCTCCTGAATGCTGGGATTACAGGCGTGTGCCACCACACCCGGCTAGTCATGCATTTTTACACTTGATCTTAGCCAAAAGGCTGAGAAGCGATAGTCATGCATTTTTGATCAGTAAGCTAACAGGAATTGAACTTCTGATGTTTCATTTATTTTATGTCACTGGTGGTTACTTGTAAAGTGATGGCAAGGACTCTCTTTTACAAGAGTCAGTGGTTTGGCCCTCTAACATGAGTTTCTGTCAGGTGTGCTTGATGGGAACCATGAGACTCCCTGTCTAGTGCTGTCCTTTGTCTCTTGGCTCTTCTGTTTTTGTTTTTTGGTACTGGGGATCGAACTCAGGACCTTGCACTTGCAAGGCAGGCTGCGTAACCACTGAGCTAAATCCCCGGCCCTTGGCTCTTCTGTATAACCTGGGCCTGGGGGCTCCTGCCCTGCTCCAGTCACTTCCTGTGTTTCCCTGATGAGTCCTTGAGGGCTGTGTTGACCCTTCATTCACTTGGTAAACATCTGTTGAGCTCATCAGGTGCTAAGGTTATAGAAAATACCTTTTTCCTTCCCTCGAATTGAACATCATGTACAACTTTGTATGTCAATTTCTTCCCCACCTAATATGCTATGAGCATTTCCTCTGTATTAAATGTTCTTTGAAAACTTTTTTGTGGCTGTTTTTATATGGAAGAACTGTTAGCCTTGCCTTATTTCTTGCCAGCCTTTTTCCAATACTTAAAAATTGGGAATAGCCTAGTGAGTATTTTTGTGCCTTTTTGGATAGTTACTGGGATTTCTTGCAGTGGAATCATAGGTGCACGTCATAGCTCTTCACCAGGCGGGGCTCAGTGTGAGCCCAGAGCCTGTGTTGTCTGCTGAGTGCATGTTGTGCCTGCTGCTTCTGGAGCACTGAGTGGTTTAGACTTCAACACACAGGAACCTGAGCTCACCGATTCCTTAACTGTTGCCTACAATGAGTTTCTGTCTTTTTCTTAAACAGGATAAAGAGGCACTGACAGAACCACAGACAAGTGAATTGATGCCTGCACCCATGTCGCAGCCCGGGCCTGATGAAGGCAGATGTCCAGTGCTTCCGCTGGGCAGCCTCTGCGAGGACCCTGAGGGCTGGCCAGAGGCCGTGCAGAGAGTCTTCCTACAGGATGGTGACGAGGTGTGTGGTCCTGTAGGCCACAGTTTGAAGGCTAAACAGCCAGAAACTGGGTGACAGGTTTTGGATTAGTGTATCAGCTTTGTAACTTTATCGCTTTTGTGTTTTTTGTTGTTTTGTTTTGAGACAGGATCTCGCTATGTAGTTCAGGCTTTTTCTAAACTCACGATATGGTTTGGTTTGGTGGCTTGGTTCACTTAGGGCCAATCCGGTCTGGTCCAGTCCAGTTTTTGAGATGAGGTCTGGTTACATTGCCTAGGCTGGTTTCCAGTTTTTGGGCTCCAGTGATCCTCCTGCCTCAGCCTCCTGAGTAGGTGGGAGTATAGGTGCACACTGTTACAGTGGGCTTGACCTTTGTGTTTTATTTCCCTTTCTTGCTTACCACACCGTCCAGCGTTTCCACTGCAGAGCCAGATATAACATAGTTGAGAGCAGTCTTCCTTTCCTGTTCCTGGTGGTAGGAAGGAAGTGGGGGATGTTTCACCACGAAGTACGGGAGCTGTAGGTGTTTATTTTTAGTGGTCCTGGTGATTCTTACAGAGCGACAGCCTGTTTCTCTTTTTAAAGTTTTGAGCAGCATCTCATTAAATCACCAAGTTGTCCAGGCTGGCCTCAAACTTAGGAACCTTATGCCTCAGCCTCGCAGACTGCTGGGCTTTTAGGCATGTGCTACCTACCGTACCAGGCTGGTCTAGGGTTTTCTGTGTGTTTTGGGGTTTTTTAATAATGTTTAAAATTTTGTTAGTGCATGTTTGCAGAGCACACAGTTTACATTCATCTTGGGGAGTATCCAGGATATGTGTACGTGTTACAGCTAGTTTCTTTTCTTTCTGTTTTTAATTCTTCTTCCCCTCCCCTTCCCTTCTCCTCCCCCTCTTCTTGTGGTTCCCCGTCCCCTTTCTTGTACTTGGTGATAGTATTTGTCTTAGCTCATGTTATGGCATACAGTGTTTACATTGGGGTTATTAGGTTCCTGTACATGGCATATCTTTATTTTTCTTTTTTCTTTTTTTTTGGTACCAGGGATCGAACTCAGGACCTTGTGCTTTCGAGGCAGACACCGGAACCATTGAGCTAAATCCCCAGCTCCTATCTTTATTTTTCTTACTTCCCCTTCCTCTCCTCACCCCTCATCCTTGTTCCCTTGGACCATTTGCCTATTTCAAGAGATCTGTCTCCTTGTCCATTCTTTATCATTTTCTTTGTACTTTGCCTCACTCAAATGAGAGATACCATATGATATTTAAGCTTGTGTATCTGGTTTATTTCACCCAACATTATGTTTTCCAGATGCATCCATTTTCCTACACATGTCTCAAATGTGTCATTCTTTATAGTGGTGGAGTAGTATTCCATTCTATATAGATACCACATTTTCTTTATCCAGTCATCTGTTGATGGGTATAAAGCTACTTGCAGGATTTAGTTATTACAAATTGTGCTGTTGTAAACATTAGTATGCACGTCTCACTGTACTATGATTATTTAAGCTCTGTGGGGAAGATACCTAGCAGGGGACAGCTGGGTCATATGGAATTTCTAATTTCAGTTCTTTGAGAAATCTCTATACTGATTTCCATAATGGTTGCACTAGTTGCATCCCCACCAACATTGCTTAAATTTTTTGTGTGTTGTACTGACATTATCATTTAGTTCTAGAAACTGTCTTATTTCTTCCTTGATTTCTTATGTAACCCATTGATTAGTGTATTGTTTAGTTTCTGTGCCTTTGCATAATGTGTTTTATGTTTGTCATTGATTTCTAACTTCATTGTACTGTGGTCTGATAATATGTATGGTATAATTTCAATTCTTTTACATTTAGTTAAGGCTGATTTAGTGGCTAGTATGTGGCCTATTTTGGAGCAAGTTCCATGTACTCCTGAAAAGAATGTATATTCTGTTGTTGTGTGAAACATTCTGTAATTATCTTTAAATTCCATTTGTTGAAAGATTTTGTTCAACTCTAATATTTCTTTGTTGATTTTTTTTGGGTAGTTATCTTTCTATTTGTGATAGTAGTATTGAGATCCCTCACTATAATTGTGTTTATGTTTAGCTGATCTTTTATGTCCAGTAGAACTTGCTTTATGAAGTTGGGTGCCCTGTTGTTCAGTGTATATGTGTTAATAATTGTTACCTCTTCCTATTGGATTGTTCTCTTAAGCAACATGTAGTGATCTTCTTTGCCTCTTTTGATTAGGTTTTGTTTGAAGTTGACTTTGACTGTAAAATAGTTACACTTGTTTGGGGGAGGGGGTTCCTTTTGCCTGTAATATTGTTATCCATCCTTTTTTAGTCTGTGGGTTTCTTTTTTTTTTTTCCCCATTAACTTTATTGGTACATTTTAGATATAAAATACAGTTACATTCATCATTGGGATCTTGTACCATTACATGAGTCTCTTGGTTCTTATTTTTTTCCCCTTCCCT